GGAGCGTGATACAGAGGTTGAGGAGGATGCGGAGGAGGAGAAGGAGGAGGAGGAGGAGGAGGAGGAAGGGAAGGAGGATGGTGGTGATGATGATGATGAGGAGGAGGAGGAGGAGGAGGAGGAGAGGCGGAGGAGGAGGATGAGGAAACGACGAGGTGGAAGGAGGCGAGCAGTGATATCAGGAGGTTTGGAAGAGGAGAGTAATGGACAGATGAAGAGGAGGAGTTGGAGAAGGACGATGAGGAGGATCAGGAGGAGGAGCAGGAGGAGGAGGAGGAGGAGGAGGAGGAGGAGGAGGAGGAGGAGAAGGGGCAGGAGGACCAGGTGGATCAGGATGAAGAGGAGGAGGAGGAGGAGGAGGAGGAGGAGGAGGAGGAGGAGGAGGAGGAGGAGGAAGAGAACGACGAGAGGAAAAGGAGGAGGACGAGTGTAAACCCAAGACGCGTCAATGCTGCTGCAGTGAACCCTCCCTTCAAGTTGCCTCTGTGTAGGGCCCTGGAACATTCATTGTCATTGCGACTCGCGGCAAATGCCCCATTGGAAAACAAGCGTCTGATAATCTCCAACTGTGCCAGCACGCAATTCCTGGGACCTCAGCGTCACAAGTCAACGTGCCTGTTATCCGAAACCGTGCCAGGACGCCGTTCCTGGGATTTCAACGCCGCGAATCAACGTGACTGTTGAATTCTGACAGTTCCCAATTTTGCCAGAATGCCAGTCATGGGACATCGACCACGAGATCCCTCGAAGCTGTCGCAGACTTTCAAAATGAGTGCGCGCGGCTCAAAGGCGACAGCCGCACTTTGAAAACTAGCCACCCTCCATGCTTGAAACGGTTGAAAACTCGAATGACGAATTTGCGCGGCGCTGGGCGAGAGCAACATTTTGAGAGCCACCCGCCCTCCTCCATCTTTGAACCGGTTGAACTTTTTAAGGCGATTGTGTGCGCCGCTAATGCGAGAGCCACATATTGAAAGGGGCCCGTCCTCCATCTGTGCAGCTGGTGCAGACTTGTATGACGTCTCCGCGCGGCGCTAAGGCGAGAGCACCATTATGAAAACGACTCGCTCTCCATCCGTGAAGCTGTTGCATATCTTTAGCGCGGCGCTCAGGTGAGATCGACAATTTGAAAACCACCCGCCCTCCTTCCATGAAACTGTTGCGAATTTCAAGCTCCGTGATCATGAGTGTTGAGGAGCTCCTCAGGTGAAATGCCCAACCCGCCCTACTGACACGTTCCGGGGTGCGTCAGCTAGGAGTTCTTTATATGGAAGAGGGATGGAGGAGCGGGAGGACGAGAGGAGGGGGATGATGAGGAGATGGTGTAGTGGAAGGGGGGAGGGCGAGGGCCAGACGGAGAATGACGTGGATGTGGAGGAGGAGGACGACGACGAGAAGCTCGACGACGACGATGCCGAAAGCGCAGGCGGATCAGGAGTAGGAGGACGCGCGAACACTTTGAGGAGCCACGTTGGCTCAACACATGATGTTTGGGGATGCTGGACTCTGGCTATGTTTTCTGTTCTTCCATCTTCCCATCTGGCTGACCCCGTCGTTCCGGTACGCATTCTGCCTGTACTCCCTGCCCGACCTCGACGTGGACGGGGCGCGCTTGCGGCTCGTGGTCGAGGCCCGCGTCCGCCGCGGGGCGGTCTGTGAGCACGGTGATGCCTACGCCTTCTGCGACGCGCGCCTCATCGAGGGCCGCGTCCCGGCGGAGCGCCTTGAGTGGGAGGTGGACCGTGCCAGTCGAAGAAGAAACAACGTCACAAACCCACATTTTCGGAGCTCCGCGCTGGTTTCTGGGATCGGCGCTGGAAGCCCCTGGCGGCTTCACCAGCGCCGCCCCTGGCGCGCGGAGCGCGCCAGGCAGGGGGGTGCAGCGCCGATCGAGGAGATCTGCGCGGAGTTCCGACAGTTTATCTTTGTGCAGTTCTTTATTCTTCCAGCCAGCGCGGGGAGCGTCCAGGTCGTGGGCCTGGTGCTCAAGCAGCTGTGCCCGCGCCACCCCACGCTGAGGCACGACTGCAACATCCGTGCCTGCAGCAAGGCGCTGCTGCGGCTGTGACAGCGCTTCGCGGGGCAAGAAAGGACTTGGCACCTCCCCCTCCTCCCAAGATTCGGCCGGCGAGGGGGGAGGAGGGGGGAAGGGGGAGAAAATGGAGACAGGAACGAGGAAGGAGGGGAGACAGGAGCAAGAGGGCGGGAGGATGAGGAGCGCGTGGTGGAGGGCGGGGGGCGGATGGGGGCAACCGGCTGGGGGGCGCACGTGGCTCCGACGGCGGGGCCCGGACCCCCGACGCCATGATTTTTTTCACAACTTCAGTCCGTGGAAATCTCGGCCCATTCCTCAGAGCCGCTTTTTCATCCCGAGTCGTCTTTTGATGGTTCTGGGGCCTGGTGAGGGCCCCCAGAGGCCGAGCCTAATATTGAGACGCCGTCAACTGCGATTCTGACGCGACGCGAGGGGGTCTGGGTTCATCTCCCTCGCAGGCCGCGGAGTCTCCCGGGGCCTCTGGGGGTCTTCGGCCGCCTCTTGGGCCGTCTTGGGCCTCTTGGGGCATCTTGGGCGCCCTCTTGGGCCGTCTCGGGGCCCTCTTGGGCCGTCTTGGGGCCCTCTTTGGGGCCCTCTTTGGGGCCCTCTTTGGGGCCCTCTTTGGGGCCCGCTTGGGCTGTCTGGGGGCGGCGTTGGGGGCCCGGGGCCTCTGTCGCAGGCCTAGAGGTTGACACCAGCACCAATTTCGGCGGTGTGCCTCCACAGAAGGACGAAGATCCCGATCTCGGTGATGGTGGTAATAATCGGGCTTCCAAGGTGGCCGAAATATTACCACCAACACCGAAATCGAGAATCATCTTCCCTCTTGTTGTGGAGGCAACGCTCTGTGTTGGTGTTGGTGTCTACTTCCAGGCCTCCAACTCTGGGGGTCCCCGCGCGGCCTCGCGTCCCTTGGAGGCCACCAGAGCCTCCCGCGGAGGCCGTGGGCGGCCGCCTCTGATCTGATGGCTTCCCGTCGGCCTCACGCGCCGGGCCGCCTCCTGCCTAGGAGATGCAGGCTGGAGGCTCGGCCCCGAGGTCGGGGCGCTGCAGTTCTAGGCGCTTCGCGTGGACACACCAGCCCGTCCAGGAGGAATGCCCCAGCGAGCTGCTCCGATCGGGGATGTGGAGGAGCATGCCGTGGGATATGTGGCTGCGGAAGCCGTCATACCCCAAGAGGAGGAGGAGGAGGAGGAGGAGGAGGAGGAGGAGGAGGAGGAGGAGGAGGGGAGGAGGAGGAGGAGGAGGAGGAGGAGGAGGAGGAGGAGGAGGAGGAGGGGGAGGGGGAGGGGGAGGAGGAGGAGGAGGAGGAGGAGGAGGAGGAGGAGGAGGAGGAGGAGGAGGAGGAGGGGAGAAGGAGGAGGAGGAGGAGGAGGAGGAGGAGGAGGAGGGGGAGGAGGAGGATGATGCAGATGAGATGATGATGATGATGATGATGATGATGATGATGATGATGATGATGATGATGATGATGATGATGATGATGGATGGATGATGATGAGATGATGATGATGATGATGATGATGATGATGATGATGATGATGATGAGATGATGGAGGAGGAGGAGGAGGAGGAGGAGGAGGAGGAGGAGGAAGGAGGAAGAGGACCCCTTTTCCCTTTCCCAGGACCCGTTCTTCATCCCGAGTCGTTTTCTGACGGTCCAGAGGCGCGGCGAGGGTCCCCGGTTCCCCCAGAGGCCGTCAAATCGCGAAGCACCGCCCATCCTGGTTTTTTTCAATGGCTCGAGGGGGTCTGCTGCCTCTGACTTCTGCCTCCCTGCGCTCCGACTGCCCTCGAGAGCCAGTGAGCCCACAGTGGACGTGCGCGCCCAACTGCGCACGTGAACACGCCCCCCCCCCAGTCCGCGAGACCAGCCTCGCGCTACGATCCCGCCCGAGCAGCTCGTGCTAGGGTTAAGTCGGACATGCCCCTTTACAGGAGGAGTGTTCACGAATAGTAAAAAGTGGTCTGGCCACGAATGTCCGTGCTTAGTTTAATCCGAATTATTCGTCTGATTCTTATCATAATCATGCATGCAGTAATTACTCAGTTAAAGAGATTTAAGTAAATGATGAATGTATTAAGTTGTATGCATTTTTGTTTTTTTTGTTTGTGTTGTATGATGTGTTTTTGTATTATTACCCTAGTGCTATTAAGCTTAGGACATGCCCGACCTAATACTAGGGTTCGGCGACGAGTCCTGGGGGGAAGTGAGAAGGGGCAGGCCTTCCTCAGAAGGCTCGGACTTCTGAGAAGTTTCCGGAGCCTTCCCCGACGACGCGGAAACAACATTGAGACTAGAGAAAAAACCCAACCAGATTTTTGTTTGGGGCTGTAGGTCTATGGGGCTATAGGGCTCTAGGGCTCTAGGGCTACAGGGCTATGGGGCTACAAGGCAAAGAGGCTATAGGGCTATTATGGCTGTAGGGCTATGGGCTATAGGGCTATAGGGCTATGAGGCTGTAAGGCTCTAGGGATATACATATATATAGTTATAAGGCTGTACGGCTGTAGGGCTATAGTGCTATAGGGGTACCAGGCACCCGGGCACCCGGGCACCCAGGCACCCGGGCACCCGGGCACCTGGGCACCCGGGCACTTGGGCGCACGGGCACCCAGGCACCAGGGAACCTGGGCACCCGGGCACCCGGGCACGCGGGCACCCTGGCACCCGGGCACCCGGGCACCCCCAGGCACCCGGGCACCCGGACACCTGGGCACCCCCGTGCACCCGGGCACCCGGGCCCAGCCACCGAAATCGGCGACGTCCTGCACATGTGAATCCGCGAGGACCCCTACGGAGGCAAGCTCTGCTTGGGGAACTCCGCAGAAGGCGCGAGGGCTCCTGAGAAGCCCCGCCGCCAGTGAGAAGGCCTTCTCCTCCTCACTTCCCCCCCCCCCCTCGCTCGCCGCCACAGGGTGTAGTAGGGGCGGGGGGGAGTGCCGCGCACCGGCGCTTGCGCGAGGTGTGCGCCCCGGCGCTGCCTGAGCCGCGGCCTCCCCAGCGGGGGGTGCAGCGCTGCCCGGGCGGCGACGCCTCAAAGGCCGCCGCCGCCGGCCGCTCGCGGGCCGCGGCCGCTGCCCGCCCGTGCGTGTGCCGATCGCGGCCGCGGCCGCGGCAAGCGCCCCAGAAGCAGCACGTGATCGGTTTCTTTTTCTCTGTTTTGCCAGTCGGCGCGGGCCCTCGCACGCCCTCCCACCACTCTCCCTGTCCCGGGAGTCGATCCGGGTTGCTCTTGGCGCCTGTTTCGGGCCAGTGGGGTCTTCCCCTATAGGACGCACTGCTGCAGACAGTCGCCTGAAGCAGCGGTCCGGAGCCAGACCCCCCCCCCCCGTTCCGCTCAATGTCGAAACGCCGAGTAAGAAGACGGCGATCTATTTAAGCCCAAGCCGCACACGTAAGTACGATCAGAGTTTGGAGACCTCTTGCTGTCTTCTTGCCTTCTTGAGCCTCCTGGCGGCTGCTCGTCGCCACGGCAGGGTTCCCCCTCGAGAGCGTCGCCAAGCTTCTCTGGAGGCCCTGGGTCGGCGGAAGTGTGAGGCTCGAGGTGTTTTGGAGGTTCGAGATTTTGCGTGTCTGGTTTTCTGATATCCCGATCTACTTCGGCCTCGGTCGCAAGAAGGAATCTCAAGCAACAGGGAAGTACCAACATTGGAGGGCTTTCTCGTGTCGGGCCCTTCGCTAGCACGTCGGGCAGACCTGCGATACTTTTCTGGGTGCTCGAAACTATTTCTGGGATGTGGTCCTCGAGTGCGATGGGAACAACAGAAGTCTGGTTGTTCTTCAGCCTCTTTGAGCCTGCAGGAGGCCCGTCGCCGCCACGGCTCGGTTCCCTTCGGAGTTCTGGTCGGAGCACGCCCGGGGGACACACCGGGTACAAGTTCAGACCTCTAGGCCCAGATCGCCGACGTATTGAAAACCACATGGCGTTGCGTTCGCATTTTGCTCGCCTTTGCTCGCTGTTTCGGGGGCCCGGGGTAGTCTGGACATGGTTCATGCAAATTCAACTTGTTCCAAGAGCTCCGCGATTCAATGGGATATCGAAGCAACAACGGCATCGGAGGTCTGGGTATCATGCTGCTTCCTGCAGCTGGCGCAGCCGCGTTGCCCCGCCGCTCTTAGTGAGAACGACGTCAAGGGATACATCGTCATCCGTACAGCAAATGGCAATTTCGTTCCTCTCCTGGCGCGGGAATCCGCCCTTCCCTCGTGATGCCCACCAGTTGAGCTTCCGCGGACGTCTTGTCAAGCCTTGACTCGCTCTCAAGAACTGCCGGGTGCTCCGTAAGTGGTGGGGCCATGGCAGTAAGCTCTGCATGATGAGCGTCCGCCTCGAGAGTGGTTCCGACCCGTGGCCCACCATGGCCCACCCGTGCCCCCGTGCCCCCGTGGCCCTGTGGCCCCGTGGGCCCTGTGGTCCCCGTGGTCCCCGTGGCCCCGTGGTCTCCGCGGCCCCGTGGCAGGAGGAGGAGGAGGAGGAGGAGGAGGAGGAGGAGGAGGAGGAGGAGGAGGAGGAGGAGGAGGAGGAGGAGGAGGCCGTCGGGCCGTGGTCTGGGGCAACGCCGGGGGGGGATGGGCTCCGGGGGCGGAACGTGTCGACCCCCAATCCATCGCCCATATTCATCGCCGATCGGGGCCCGAGAGCCCGGGGCCGCCCAGGAGAGCGCGGACTCGCCACCAGGGTCCCAGCGTCGATGCATCGGCGATGCATCGCCAGCTCGAGCTCGATGCTTCACCCCCCCCCCCCCCCCCTGAGCCAGCCCCCCCCTATCGTTCCCACTCCTGGGGACGAGTGGCCCCCGCGGCAGCCGTGGCCCCAGGGGACTCTCCAGGGGACCCTCCACAGGAGCACTGGGCCAGGCCCTTCAGCAGGGTCGACCTCGCTGTTCGACCCCCCTCCCCACCACCGGCAGTCGCAGGCGCTGTCTGGCCGGCCCTCCCCCCTCTCCCCCAGGCCTGTCCATGGCTCGATGGACTCGTCTGGTCGGTTCGATCGCGCGGGCGATTTGATCGACCTGCGATCCAGGGCGGCCCCTGGACAGCGATGCCCCCGATTCGCCGAGCCAGGGCCGCGCCGGGGGCGCCGGGGGGCCCTGGGCCATCCCTCGACATCAGGCGTCGCGATCACAAGCGCAACCAGAAAGTCGCCCGGGCTGGATCGCGATCACCCTGGGCCCATAGAGGGCAAGCACGCCAGTCATGATTGATGCTCTGATTTGTCACCACTTGAAGAGCCGCTCGCTGTTCAATGCGCTTCCTTGTCTCAGATGCTGCCGGGGGGTTCGCCCATCGCAGGGTTCATTGTGTTTGAAGAGTCTGTGGTTTCTGTGACGCGAGCTTCACTGGGGATGTAATGTAGGTTGACGCACAGGGGGGTGGGTGGGGGCGCGGTTTGAGAATAGCTTTCTGCCGCTGGGACAGATTTGGGAGAGGATGACCAAATACTTTTTTTTTTAATGCCGCCGACGACACCCACGAGCAGGATTCATGAATCATCGTCGCCCAGGGCGCTGCTGCTTGACGGGCCTGCCAAGGCATTTCTTGATCGCCAGCCTGCGTTGTGGCCGTTGCGTTTCGTGGGGGAGGAGGGACGGGAGAGGAGAGGAGACTTTTTTGGTCAGTGGCGACTTGAGTCCAAGTAGAAAGACAACCACTGACAATGACGCCATTATGATAAGGAGATGCCCCCCCCATCCATGACGTTGCTGGGATTGTCCCAGGCGGGTGGGGGCGGCGCGCAGGCGTGAGTCACAATTTGAGCACGATTCGCGCTTCAACCTTTTACGTGGTGGATATGTTTCAGACGGGTGAGTGCGGCGCAGATGCGATTCCCGCAATTAGGAAAAACAGTTGCCTTCCATTCGAACGTGCGCGGCACTGACGCGATCGCTACATTTTGGAAACGACCTGTCCTTCATATGTGTGACAGTTGGACTCACCAATGTTCAGCATATTATATGGTGCGGAAGTTTTAGGCGAAACGCCCAGACCGCCCCACCGACACGTCTGGTGATGCGACGAGGAAGAATTATTCATATCACATGCTGTTTGTGATTTTGTTGATGGGGATGATGCAGGTGGTGATGCGGCTGCTGTTGATCATGGTGATGCCGATGATGACGGTGATGAGTCTGCTGCTGCCGCTGATGGTGATGATGACGACAATGATGGTGCTGCGGCTGATGGTGATGGCGACTGCGATAATGATGATGGCGTGTCGATGGCGACGGTGTTTTTTGGTTATGATCATGATGATGGTGGAGGTGCTGATGCTGGTGATGACGATGATGGCTGTGGTGGTGACGCTACTGATGCTGTTGCTGCTGCTGGTGGTCATGATGAGGTGTTATTGGAGGAGGAGGGGAAGGGACGACAGCATCCGAGCGATACACTTGCCAGCGGCTCGAAGTTCAAGGGAGGAGAAGGGGCGAAGAGGGAGATGACGCTGGGGAGGATGAGGTGGCGGAGGATAAGGAGGATGTGAAGGAGAACGCGACAGAAAAGGAGGACGGGGAGGACACGGATGTGCAGGAGACAGAGGACGGGGCAGGGGGATCGCGGAGGATCGTGGAGGCTTCCTCTTGTGGAGGCCTGCCGCCTGACCTGGCCCCCCCCTCCCGGGACCCCCGCGCGACCGCTCCCCCCTCTCGAATGATCGGCTGCAGAATTGATGTGCCCCAGCGCTGAAATTCTCGTCGGGTCCTCAGCACAGATGCAGATGGTTCGTAGACCTAGGAGCATCACATGTTTTGTTGTTGGTCGGGTAGATTCGGCTACGGTTTCATTTTCGGGGTAAGTCGATTGTGTTGTCGATCTCCTACTCGACCCTTGCCCCTCGCGCGCGCGCTCGCGAGCGCCTGCGCGAGCGCGCAAAAGCTTCGCCGCGGGTGCGCGCGAGGCCCATCGGAGGCTCCTCGGCGGCTCCTTGGCGGCTCCTCGGCGGCTCCTCGAAGGCTCTTCGGAGATCCTCGGAGGCCCTTGGCAGCCCTCGGAGGCCCTCGGGCTGCCGATCTCTCGCGTGCGCGCGCGGGCGCGCGGGGGGCCGCGCAGAGGGCAGGGGGGGTGGAGCCGGCGTCGCCGAGCGGGATGGGGACCTGCAGAGAGATGCCTCTTCGCCCTCGTGGAACCTCGTCCACCCTTCTCCTCGCTCCTCGTTCTACCCTCCTCCTGCGAGCACGCACTGACTGCCATGCCACCGTCCACCACCACCACCAACCCTCCTCCTCCCCCACCCTCCTTCTTCTTCTTCTTCTTCTTTTCCTCCTCCTCCTCCTCCTCCTCCTCCGCGTTCCCCCTCCGTCTCCACCTCCTCCTTCACCTTCCTCTCCAACTCCTTCTCCCCGCCTACTTCCTACTTCCTTCTCGTCCTCCGCCTCTTCCTCTGCCTGACTGCGTATCACGCCGAGTCTCGAACTAGCTCATTATTGCCGAGGGTAGCGTGCCGGCGCCAGAGGGGGCATGCCCTCTGCGATGACGCAAGGCCGCCCGATGCGATGAAGGATGGCCTCCTCCTCCTCCTCCTCCTGATCCTTCTCCTCCTCCTCCTCCTCCTCCTCCTCCTCCTCCTCCTCCTCTCTCCTTCCTCCTCCTCCTCCTCCTCCTCCTCCTCCTCCTCCTCCTCCTCCTCCTCCTCCTCCTCCTCCTCCCCCTCCTGGGTGCGGATGACTTGGCTGGGCACTGGGAAGCCCACGATCTGTATGTGCATCGAGTGCAAGAGCACGCGTCCCCGGCTGCCCCGTGCCGGGACTCCCGAGGAGACCCCGTCGGCAAGCTCTGCTTCTGTGGCACGGGTGCTGCGACCTCCGGCGGTGGTGCGGCCAGCGAGCCCCTCGAGGCACCCTGCAGAGGCCTCCAGGGGTGGCACGGGAGCCTCGCCGACCAGCTGCGGCGAGCTCGGCAGCAGGAGCTCCCCTCGCAGAAGGAGGGGAAGCGGGAGCTCGCCCTCGGGCCCCCGAGGGGCCCGGACCTCGCCGAGCGTGGCGTGGGGACCTGGTCGAGGCGCTGGGCTGCGGCTCCGTGGCCCCTGGGGCCGACGAGGTTGGCTCTCGAGGTGTGGGGCGCGCGAGGGTGGCCGTGACCCTGGCGAGCAGGTTTTGTGCCCGTTCGGCTTGACCGAAAAGGATCTCCCCCGAGTGGAGGCCCCAGGGGAGGCCTCCTCCTCCTCCTCCTTCTCCTCCTCTTCCTCCTCCTCCTCGTCCCCCGGGCCCCCCTTGGGGAGGAGTCGGCTTCGGCCGCGTCGGACTTCGTCCGATCATGGGCCGCCTGGCTGTAGGCCCGTCCCCAGCAACTCCTCCTCCCCCTCCCGGGGCCACCCCGGAGGGCCTTCCCCTGCCTCCTGGCCTGGGCCTTCCGCGCGACGCAGACCGACAGCGGCGCCGACGGGACGCCGCGGCAGCAATGGCGCTGAACTAGATCTCGGCGTCCTCCTGGCCAGGGCCGCCCCAGAGAGCGTCGAGCATCGGGTCGAAGAGACTGTCCCCCTGCCGATGATGATGCTGCTGCTGATGACGATGACGGCGATGATGAGTGCGATGGAGACGATGAGGACGATGAAGACGATGACGATTACGATGACGACGGCGACGACTATGATGATGGTTATGATGACGATTACGACGATGATGGTAGTGGTCATGATGGTGGTGGTGGTGGTGATGATGGTGATAATAGTGGCAATGGTGAGTCTGGTGGTGATAATGATGATGGTGATGGTGATGGTGATTGCGATGCTGATTAGGATGATGCTGCTCGTGGAATTGGTGATCGTGATGAAGATGGTGGTGGTGGTGATGATGCTGATGGTGTTGTTGTTGGTGATGATGATGCTGTTGGTGTTGATATTGCTGCTGCTGATGATGCTGATGATGCTGATGATGGTGATAATGCTGATGCTGACGGTGGTGATAATAACTATGATGTTGATGATGCTGCTGATGATGATTATGCTGATGCTGATGCTGATGATGCTGATGCTGATGCTTATGATGATGATGATGAAGTTGATGTCGTTGATAGTGATGATGATGATTGTGGTGGTGGTGGTGGTGGTGGTGGTGGGGGTGGCGATGCGGCTGATGCTGATGACGATGCTGATGCTGCTGCTGCTGATGATGATGATGACGATGATGATGATGATGATGGTGGTGATGATTGTGATGATGCTGCTGATGATGCTGCTTATGATGATGATGATAATGATGATGATGATGATGATGATGATGATGATGATGATGATGATGATGATGATGATGATGATGGTGATGATGGTGATGATGATGATGATGATGATGACGATGATGATGATGCTGATGATGCTGATGATGTTGATGCTGATGATGCTGGTGATGCTGATGATGATGATGATGCTGCTGCTGATGATGATGAGGATGATGATGATGATAATGAGGAGGAGGAGGTGGAGGAGGAGGAGGTGTTGGAGAAGGATGGGAAGGATGAGGATGAGGAGGAGAAGGAGGACGACGACGAAGAGGAGCAGGGTGAGGGAGGAGGAGGAGGAGGAGGAGGAGGAGGAGGAGGAGGAGGAGGAGGAGGAGGAGGAGGGGGAGGAGGACAATCGCAAGGCTAAGAGGGAGGCTAAGGGTTGGCCGACCCGACCCTAACCCAAAACCTCGTGGCACTGGGTCACCTGTGTTCTCCACAACGGCTGCGGGTGCACCACATGGCCGCTGAGACGGCAGGACGCTGCTGACGCTCATCGAGGGCACTGGGCCCTGATGTGGCGTTTGCACACCTAGCCACAGCGGCACCTCACCTCCGCCGCCCACGATCGCGGGGGGGAGGGGTGGGGCCGGGCAGCGGTCGGGGTGGACTGGCAAACCAAGTCCACCCCCGTGCCCAGAACCCACGGGGGCGCCCCCTGTGCAGCTGTCACCGTGGAGGGAGCCAGCAAGCGCTCCACGGCCGTGCAACAGGGTATCGCCAAACAGCACGCTGCAGTGAAAAGGACGGCTAGCATCGCCTGACTGACGGACCCCCAAGGCCCGAGTTCCATGGCTGGCTGCGCGACACCTGCACCGCCAGCCAGGACGACACAAACCCCAGATCGAACCTGCTGTGGGCCTAGGCACAGCTGCAGCACAGAGGGCTATCTGTGTGTGTGTGGGGGAGCTGGGCAGCGCTCCACGGCCGTGCCAGGGAATCGCCAGAGGCACGCTGTGCCGCAGAGGAAGAGTGCACAGCGCTCCTTCCCCCTGAGGCGGGGTGCCTGACACGCGTGCGGGCGGGGCCGCGCACGCACGCACACACGCAGATGCACACAGAGTGTCCGAGGTGACGCCAGGACGACGCGGCACTGCCCCCCCCCCCCCCCCTGGTGTAAAAAACGCCAGGGCGGTGGGCAGGCCGCGTCCCTGGTGTGGGCCTTTCTGGACTCTTGGACTGAGTTGAAACGGCAGGCTGCCGACAGTGAACGAGAGCGAGGGTCCAACAGGCCTCAGAGCTGCAGATGAGCCGCAGCGGGTGCAAACTAGCGCGCCTCCCCAAGAGGAGGAGGAGGAGGAGGAGGAGGAGGAGGAGGAGGAGGAGGAGGAGGGGAGGAGGAGGAGGGAGGAGGAGGAGGAGGAGGAGGAGGGAGGAGGAGGAGGAGCTGGATGAGGAGGAGGAAGTGGAGGAGGAGGAGGAGCAGAGGGAGGGGAGGAGGAGGAGGAGGAGGAGGAGGAGGAGGAGGAGGAGGAGGAGGAGGAGGAGGAGGAGGTGTTGGAGGATGATGGGGTGGTGGTGGTGGAGGAGATGGAAGAAGAGGAGGAGGACGAGGAGGAGGAGGAGGATGAGTAGGAGCTGGAGAGGGAGGAGGAGGGAGAGGAGGAGGAGGAGCTGGGGAAGGAGGAGGAGGAGGAGGAGGAGGAGGAGGAGGAGGAGGAGGAGGAGGAGGAGCAGTCTAGGATGAGGAGGATTGAGCAGCAGCGGGTCCGGGGTCCAGGGGTGAGGTCCTCTCCCTTCCTCTCCTTGATATTTCTTTCGGGCAAAAAAACTGAAGTGTCGCACCACCAGTCACCTGTTACGTCCTCAGCGTTTACGTTCTCGAAGCTGGGCAAATTCCAACAGTCACAAGGATGAAGGGCGGAATGTCTTCAAATTTGAGCTTGCGCCCTGACGCGTTGCAGACTTGCTTTAATCATTTCCAACAGGAAGTAACACGGGTGAGTGGCAGGTAATTTTGTTAGAATCGGGCTCTCGCCTTGGCTCCGCGCACGCTCGTTTTAATCTCTCAGAGCTGCTACACGCATTTTAAATACATCGTTTTCAACATGAGGTTCTCGTCTGAGACTTCCAACAGATCGCCGTGAGCACAATAATATGCAGCAGCTGCACCGATGGAGGGCGGCTCCCCTTCAACATGGGCCTCTCGCTTGAGGCCTCGTTCGGTTTTATGGCGAGACTTTTTGGAAGCTGTAGAATTGTAACGCGGACGTAGGGCGACGTCTGTCCCAAGCGTGGTTGTCGCTGGATTGATCTTTACTCGTCGGTCGTTGAAAGTAGGTATTTTTAGACTGCCAGATCCCAGTCTACTGTAGGCGCCCTTCTACTTCACGAATCGATCTGCTTTTGCTGGGTGCTGTGATTCTCTGGGAGGGCCTGAGGCCAATCTGCTTTGACCGCCTTCCTACTTCATGCTTTCACCTACTTCTTCCGACCGACGCGTCGGCGATCGACGACATAATCCATTCACCACAGAAGTATTTGCTCACCGAGAGCGCGTGGCTTTTGATTCTGTCCAGATGCGTTCTCCGCGCCGTTCCCTTCATCGCTCCGAGGACGGTTCCGAGTGTGGGGCAAGTCAGCTCTGCAGCCGATCCCCTGCTCGAGAGGGAAGAAGACCGGTTCAACAGACGACCGGTTCAACAGGGACCGGTTCAACAGACGACCGGTTCAACAGACACCGGTTCAACAGACGACCAGTTCAGCAAGGACCGGTTCAACAAAGACCGGTTCAACAGGACCGGTTCCGCAGAACCGGTTCCACGGAACCGGTTCCACAGGACCGGTTCCGCAGGACCGGTACCACAGAACCGGTTCCACAAGCCCGGTTCCACAGGACTGGTTCCACAGGACCGGTTCCACAGGACGGGTTCCACAGAGGCGATTCCCTCCTGCTACTCTCGCTCATTGCGCTGCTGCTGCTGCGGCTGTTGCTGCTCCTCCTCTTCTTCCTCCTCCTCCTCATCCATCCCTCTCTGCCCTCCCGCCCTCCCCCATCGATCCCTCGTTGCCGCTACGTCCCCCCGCCCCACATCCCTCATCCCTCCCTACTTCCTCCTCCCCTCTCCTCCCTCATCCATCATCGAGGGCCACCCACCCGACCCGTCCTGCCCGACCCGACCCGACCCGTCCCGCCCGTTAGGGTCCGCCCGCCCGACCCGTCCTGCCCGTAGGGTACTCGCGTGCCAACTCGATGGCGCATCATACTTTTAATGTCCTGCCCGCCCGACCCGACCCGTCCCGCCCGTTAGGGTCCGCCCGCCCGACCCGACCCGTCCCGCCCGTCAGGGTCCGCCCGCCCGCCGGACCCGTGCCGCCCGTTAGGGTACTCGCGTGCCAACTCGATGGCGCACCATACTTTAATGTCCGCCCGACCCGACCCGACCCGCCCGTCAGGGTCCGCCCGCCGGGCCCGTCCCGCCCGTCAGGGTACTTGCGTGCCAACTCGATGATGCACCATTATTTTATGTCCCGCCCGCTCGACCCGACCCGTCCCGCCCGTGAGGGTCCGCTCGCCCGACCCGACCCGTCCGCCCGCCCGCCGGACCCGTGCCGCCCGTTAGGGTACTCGCGTGCAAACTCGATGGTGCATCATACTTTAATGTCCTGCCCGCCCGACCCGACCCGACCCGCCCGTTAGGGTCCGCCCGCCCGACCGTACCAGTCCCGCCCCGTTAGGGTCCGCCGCCCCGACCCGTCCCGCCCGTCAGGGTCCGCCCGCCCGGCCGGACCCGTCCCGCCCGTTAGGGGAGGCGCGTGCCAAACTTGATGGGCCACCCATATCCGCCGGCCCGACCGACCCGCCCGTTAGTGTACCGCCCGCCGGACCCGTTCCGCCCGCCCGCCCGTTAGGGGTACTCGCGTGCCAACTCGGCGATGCACCATACTTTAATGTCCCGCCCGACCCGACCCGACCCTCCCGTTAGGGTCCACCCGCCCGACCCGACCCGACCCGCCCGTTAGGGTACTCGCGTGCCAACTCGGCGATGCACCATACTTTAATGTCCCGCCCGGCCCGACCCGACCCTCCCGTTAGGGTCCGTATCCTCGAGAGAGAGGGAGAGGGATAGAGAGAGAGAGAGGTAGTGAGAGAGGATAGAGGAGAGGGAGAAGGGAAGATGGAGAGGGAGAGGGAGAGAGAGGGAGAGGGAGAGGGAGAGAGGGAGAGAGAGAGAGGGAGAGGGAGAGGGAGAGCGGGGGGCACACCTCCCGCTCCCGCCCGGCCGCGCCCTCCGCACCGGCTCGACGGAGGGAGTTGCCGAGCCCCGCCGCGGCGGAGCTCCCTCCCGGCACTGCCGGCGCGGGCGCGCTCGCGGGGCGCGCCCGCCTCTCGAGGGGGGGGGCGCTGCGCGCAGGGGAGGAGGCCGCTCGCAGGGGGGGCTGGATCGGCGGCGGGGAGGGGGGGGAGAGGGGGGCGAGGGGGGGGGCGAGGGGGGGGAGGGGGGCGAGGGGGGGAGAGAAGCGGGGGGGGAGCGAGGAGGAGGAGGCCTCCTCAGAAGGCCGCGGGACCTCTCTCAGCAGCCCTCGGGCCTTCGGAGAAGCCTTCTGCGTCCTCGGGGGAGGCGCAGGCAGCTTCTCGGAAGGCTGGGGGGGCTTCCGAGCCTTCTGGGAAGGCCTTCTCCTTCTCAGTTCCCTCCTTCGCTCGTCGCCGACTTGAGGAGGCGACTTGGGACGGAATAGTGTATAGCAGCATCGTTGATACATCTTGGGGTTACTCTGGTCCTCCTCCTCCTCCTTCCACCCCCTTCCTGCTTTTCTCCCTCCCCCTTCCCCTCGCCCTCCTCTCCCTTCCTCCTTTTCTGTTCCACGGGCGATGAACATAGGAGTTCTGAGGATGGAGGGAAGGAGGAGGGATGAAGGAGGCGGATGCGGAGTTGGAGCGCAGTGAGGATTAGGAGAAGTAGGAGAAGAAGGAGGAGGAAAAGGAAGAGAAGAAGGAGGAGGAGGAAGAGGAGGAAGGAGCAGGAGGAGGAGGAGGAGGAGGAGGAGGAGGAGGAGGAGGATGAGGATGGTTTCGGATTTTGGATCGGGCGGGCCCGGTCGCCGGGGTCGGGCGAGGGACCCGGGAGGCCGAAGACGGCCAGAAGCCTCCCGCCGTGATGCTCATCCTTGACGCGAGGACGTCTGGGAAGGAACGACGACGATGGGCGTCACCCCAACGTACTAACACTGTGTGTGCGTGTGTGTGTGTGTGTGTGTGTGTGTGTGTGTGTGTGTGTGTGCGTCGCCCCCCCCCCCCCCAGGGGCGATGCGCGTACCGAGAAGTCCTATAGCACACGCGCCGTGGCGGGCGCTCTTTGGCCACTACCGCTCGGGACACGAGCTGCTGCACGGTGGGTACACCAAATGTGTTCGGGTCGGGCGCGCGCCTCCAAGGAGAACACCTAGTATTCGTATGTCTCTGACCGTCCCAGACGATGCTGACAGCGCAGTCGGCGAGGAGAGCACGCCCGCGCGGGCAGAGGCGCGGGCGCGCGCGCCTCCAAGGAGAACCTCTAGTATTAGTGGGTCTCTGTCCGTCGACAACGCGGTCGACGCAGGACGATGCTGACAGCGCCGTCGGCGAGGAGAGCGCGCCCGCGCGGGCAGAGGCGCGGGCGTGCAGCGGTCCCCTCCCGGAGGGGGCTCCGGCGGCCGGGGTGGTGGCACCGATCGCCGCGGGGCGGCCGCCGCCGCAGCGTTCTGCGAGTGTCGGGGGTGGACAGAACCCCCAACAGTGACACGTCGATTAGTGAATTGTCCGTTTTCGGTTTTCGAGAGGGCGCCGTGGCCGTTATTTTCCAGGCTTGCGCCCGCCAGGTTTGGGCCCGAAGTCGTTTTCACTAGACCACGTTTTACTAAAGGGAGGTCTGTCCATCCCCGAGTGTTGCATGCTGGGGCTCCTGTCTCTCTCTCTCTCTTTTTCTCTCTCCTTCTCTTTTCTGTGTGTATGTGTGTGTGTATATATGTGTATATGTGTGTATATAGCTGTAGGTACATCCTCCCTGTCTCTCTCGCCCTTGATCGTGGTATTGAGCTGCCTCTCCGTACTATTTCGCCCGGCCTCTCTCTTTTTCTCTCTTTTTTTTCTCTCCTTCTTTCTTCATGCAATGGGCATATATATATGCACAGTTTTATAATTCTTTTTTTGTATTTACACATAGATAATGTTTGTTGTCTCTCTCTCTCTCACTCTCTTTCTTTCTCTCTCTCTCTCTCGCTTCTTCGGTCTCGGAATCAATGACGAAACAGTCTCGCGCCCTTCTCTCTGGGGAAGTTTGGGATCAGAGTGGTCAGTGATAGCGAATGGGAAGGCGTAGGGTGTGTCATCGTGGACTCACGGGAAGCCGTGCGCGCGCTTCATTTGTCGCCAGTTGCTTCTCTTCCGCCTCCTCCCCCTCGTGCTGGGTGGAAGACGGAGGGTTACAGGTATGAGGTCGAATGCCCCCGTCGTCCACTTCCTGGGGGTATCCTGGCAGAAGTGTTCAGGGTGAGTTGTTCTACGCTACCACTTCGGATACTTTCGGCTGGTCTATTCGCCTCCTCGCTCTTCCCAATTTCTTGCCCTGTTCGGGCGCCCAGCAAGGCCATGGCCACAGTTGCTGGTATGGGGGCCACTCGGAGCACACTGTTGCGGAGCTGGAAACTGCGGCGTGGCTTACGGCTGGAGCTGCACCTCACTCCAGACGTGCACGGCCGACGCCACTGCTGACACAGCCACGCCCCATGTAGTGGTGATAATAGTGGCGCCTGTCATGGTGGCCAGTGAATGCGTGCAGTCATGTTTGTTGCTTCTCTTCGTTGGTGGTCTTGCTGCTGCTGCTGCTGCTGCTGCCTGCGCAGATTTCGCGGAGGCACTGACTTCTGTACCCCTCGTCGTTGCATCACGCTGCGTCGTGCTAGTGCTATCTTTCCGGCTGCCGCCACACTTCTTCGCAAGCGCTTGCCGATCCGCTTGCACGCTTGTCGCACGTGTGTAGCATGCCACCCTCCTGCTGGTCTTCTGGTTTCACTGGGGGAGCCAGGCGGGGGAGAGGCGGCAGAGGGGCAACTCTTCGAAGAGGAGGAGGAGGAGGAGGAGGAGGAGGAGGAGGAGGAGGAGGAGGAGGAGGAGGAGGAGGAGGAGGAGGAGGAGGGGGTGGGAAGGTCGGGGGAAAGGTGTGTACGGCAGGTTTGAACGTCGTTTTGACGTGGCAGCGACCCTGCTGCGGGCGTTCAAGGCTGAACGCCGCCTGTGGCCCAGCATCGGCCAACATCGAATGATCTGGCGATCGCGAAACTTACCAGCCTCGAACTTATCCCTATCCCTAGGATTGACACGCCAAAAGGCGATGACAATCTTAGGGATGCGCCCTCAAAAAATAAGGGAATCCCTAAGATTGGCATCGTGATGAGGAGATGCCCAGCATAGGGATAGGGATATGTTCCAGGCTGGTAAATGTACGGTAGTTTCGTGCCGTTTTGACGCGGCAGCGACCCTGCTGCGGGCGTTCAAGGTTGAACGCCGCCTGTGGCCCGGCATCGGCCAACATCGAGTGATCTGGCGATCGCGAAACTGCCGAACGTTCAAGATTGACCGATCCACCTGGTGTCAGAGGCGACCGCCAGGGTCGTCCCGGCACGAACCTGCCGTATGCCATCACGCATTTGGAGTTTGCCTTTCTCGGGGCTGCTGGTGGCGCCAGCCGCAGGCCGGTGCCGTCACCTCTGCAGGGTGCCAGGCCAGCCTTCTTGGGAGACGGTGCTATACCTCACGGAACCCTCTGCGTACGAGCTCGAGAGTTCGATTTGTTCGGTTGCCCTTGCCAGTGCTCAGCAGTTGTATCTTTCTGGCCACAGTCTGCAGTATCATCGTCAGTATCAGTATCACTGGCGATACTGCTGCCGCCTTCGCTTTCCGCATCGATGTCGCCTTCGCTGCCGATGTGCGCGCTGCCGTCCTCATTGCCGTCATCTTGGAAGCACCACCGTCATGCGTCGTCGTATCACTGTCATTCCCGTCACTGTTGAAGCAGCACCGCCATGCGTCGCCGTCCCCCGCTCGGCCCGCCGGGGGAGCCGTCGTCGCCATCGTCTCGGCAACACGCAGGAGTGACCCCGAGCAAGAGTGAACTCGGGTGCGCGGCTGAACGGGGGACACGGGGTGCCCAAACCTGGGCTCGCAGGCCGCTGCTACCGCTTCGCGCTCGGCGATCGGGGGACCACATCATTTCCGAGGCGGGAACTTATGCATGACCACCGCCTGGAGGATCAATTTTCGGGCACCCCAGCAGGCGGTGGTGGGGCACCAGGACGTCGGTTCCCAGGAGGAGGAGGAGGAGGAGGAGGAGGAGGAGGAGGAGGAGGAGGAGGAGGAGGAGGAGGAGGAGCAGGAGGAGGAGGAGGAGGAGGATGAGGAGCAGGAGGAGGAGGAGAAGGAGGAGGAGGAGGGGGAGGAGGAGGAGGAGGAGGAGGAGGAGTGACCCTCTTGCGTGTAGTCGAATCGTCGCCGTCGCCACCGCCACCGTCGGCGGCTCCGCCCTCCGCTCCCTGCATGCCCGGGGGGCTGCCCTCCGCGGAGGTGCTCTCGCACCCGCCCGGGGGCGCGGGCTGCTGCGACGCCCTGGCGAGCGGGCGGGGGGCGCTGCGGCCGCCCTGCCCCTTGCTGCTCTCTGTGCTGCCCCCGGCCCTCGGTGCCTCCCAGGCCCCCTCTCGACTGCACGTGCAGTGCAGGCCCATGCCAAGAACCACCCTGCTTGCCTCCAGGCTGTCCTGGGTGTATTGGGTTTCGATGGTTTTGCTGTGGAAGTCGTGGGGTTCCCACGCCGAAAATCAATGGACGTCCAGGGGTCTCAGGGTTCGGTTTCTTGCGGAAGGTTTCTTGCGGTCGGGCCTCCACTGTAAGAGTGACCCTTCGCCAGGGTGACCTTTGGTGCGGGCCGATGGTCCCCCCCCCGCTCGCCGAATGCGATGCGATGGCAGCGGCCTGCGCGCTTGGGTTTAGCCTTCTCGCGCCCCCAGAAGCCGCGCACCAAAGGTCACTCTTTCCAGGGTCACTCCTACGTGCAGCCGACCCTCGGAGGTGTCGGCAGGCCAGTGCCTCGCTCGACGGGTGCAGGCAGTTGATGTATTTTTGGGGGTTTTCGCGGGGGCTGAAGATGCCCAGACCCTGAGTCCCTGGCCTGAATGCTGCTCAGTTTGACTGATGTGGACTCCTTGAGCTCGTCTCGTCTCGTCTCCTCCTCCTCTCCGCTCCCTCCCCCTCCCCTACCCTTCCTTCTTCTCCTCTTCCTTCTCTTTGCCCTCCGGCTCTTCCCCCCCAATTTTCCTCCCCCTGCTTATCCCCATCGTACTCCTCCCTCCACTCCTCCTGCTCCCCTTCCTACTCCTCTTCCTTGCCCTGCTTTGCCTGCCTCTGCTCTGACGCGGCGCTGCTTCAGCAGCGAACCTTCCCCTCCCGCCTCCCTCCTCCTCTTCCCTCCTGCTCCGCCGCTCCTTCTCCCGCCCCCCCCCTCCTTCTGCGAGGCGAGGGGTTGGTGAGATGCCGCGCGATTTCCAGCTAGGACCTCTCACGCCTGATGCCACGAGGGGCCCTCGCCGGTGGACCTTGTGCTCCACTGCCACTGCCGCTGCTCCTGCTGCCGTTGCCGCCAGTCCTGCCCTCCTGTGGGGTTGCGGGCTCGCGCCAGCGGTCACAGGTGAACCCCGCGAACGAGGCGCTGGTCGGCACGAAGCTGCCGTACTTCCCCATGCCGGCATCGGGCCTAAGGAGCACCTGGGGCTGCTGCCCAGAATCAGGGCGTCGGGGTCGCTGTCTCCAAGAAGGGACAACCGCGTTAGGTAAGCAATCATAGCTTTCCGAGCTCCCAGCGGATTTCTTGGCTCGGCGCCCGGCCCCCCTGGCGGCGCCTCCAGCGTCGCCCCCGGCGCGCTTTGTGCGCCAGTGAGGGGGTCCAGCGCCAATCCAAGAAACCCGCGCGCAGCCTTGAAAGTTTCTGTAGATGCAGATCGTGCTTCCTCTACTGGCCCCTAAAGGCGAGGGGGGCGCTCGTTCTGAAACTGGCGCCCGCTGACAGCTCCGTTGATGCAGGGTGGTCGCCTGTGTTGCTCAGAGCAGCATTTGGAGGCCCGTCAGTCGTCACAGCTGCATACCCCCTTGGAGTCACCCCTGCCCCGCAAACCATCGGGTGTCTGAGAACATTCTCCTCCGCTCTCGAAGTGACGAGCAAGGAATGCTAAACGTGCTTGTTTTGTCCAAAGAAGGTGCATCGTACAGGTCAGGGCGCCCTCGGCGGGTATCACTGCGCATCCATGGCCACTGCTGCATCCGACAGGGAGGGACCGGGGGTCGAGGGCTGCGCAGACCTGTCCAGCTCTGCTTGTTTTCGTGGCGGGATATCCAAGGTCGAGCCTCCTGCAGGTCTTCGAACGACTGATTGGTGTGCTATGGAGGCTGGGCCAAACATGTTCTATTCGATGCAGGCGGGCTCTCGTGTGCTCTGCCACTCTCTCTCTCCCTCGCTCTTGTCTCTCTCTCTCTCTCTGCCTCCTTCTCTCTGTATGTCTGTATATGTATATGATCACTCTCTCGCTCTCTTCCTCTCTCTCACTCTTCCCCTCTCTCCCTGCTCCCCTGTCTCCATCTCTCTCTCCATCTCTCTCTCTCTCTCTTTATCTACTCCCACCTCGTCCTGCAAGTCCTTCTCTGCCGCAGTCTGTCATCCACGCCCTCTCTCATTCGTTGCCCGTCTTTCTTTCCCTGCTCCTTTGCCTCTCTCCCCCTCGTTGCTCATCCAGCTCCTGCGCCGGCGAGCCTGTCTCAGTCTACGTGGGGGCGGGGGGACTGGGGGGGGCCAAGGAATTCTTGCTCCGAGCGTTTGGCCCAACGGCCGACGATTGCCCACGCGCGCAGCTGCTGGGTCGTCAAACGATCCATCGTGCTTTTGCAGGGCCGGGCTCCGATTTTGAGGAGCCCGACCGCGAGGGCTTCAGGTGCATAAGCCTCCGTTTGGACCGCCTTCAGGGCCGACCCGAGCCAAGCCAACCCTCCTTTCCCTCTCTGCAATCCCGCGATAGGGGTACTAATGGGGAGAAGGAGGAGGAGGAGGAGGAGGAGGAGGAGGAGGAGGAGGAGGAGGAGGAGGAGAAGGAGGAGGAGGAAGGAGGTGAGGAGGAGGAGGAGGAGGAGGAGGAGAGAGAGGAGGCGGCGACGGAGGCGGAGGCGGAGGAGGAGGCGGAGGAGGAGGAGAGGAGGAAGGAGGAAGAAGGAGGAGGAGGAGGTGGGGGAGGAGAAAGGATGATGATTCTGATGATGATGACGATGATGCTGGTGATGATGATGATGATGATGATGATGATGATGATGATGATGATGATGATGATGATGATGATGATGATGATGATGATGATGAGGATGATGAGGATGATGATGATGAGGAGGAGGAGGAGGAGCAGGAGGAGGAGCAGGAGGAGGAGGAGGAGGAGGAGGAGGAGGACGAGGAGGAGGAGGACGAAGGAGGAAGAAGGAGGAGGAGGAGGATCCTCCCTCGCACCAAAGATGTGCCGATAGCGGCGCGCCCCCCCTCTCTGCGAACATGGCATCGGTCGCAGGACTCCCCAGCACGGTCTTCTCTTAGGACGTGCCGTGCCTCCTCCGGACGCTCTCCGGCCTGCCGCAGTGGCCCTCCCGCTGCAGCCTGGGCCTCACGTCAGGCTCGGCGCGCCCGGCCCCGTCGTTCCGGGCGGCGCTCTCGCCTCGGCGCGGGCGCTTCTCTTCTGGATCGGAGCTCTTCCTCGTCGCTGCCGCCCCCCCTCCTTTCCCCTCCGCCGCCTTCCCTGGTCCTCCTCCTCCTCCTCCTCCTCCTCCTCCTCCTCCACTCCAGCTCCTACTGCCGCTGCTGCTGCTGCTGCTCATACTCGGCCTCCTCCTCCTTCCTCCTCCTCCTCCTCCTTTTCCTCGCGCTTATCCTCCTGCTCGTCCGCCACCTCCTCTTCCAATGTACGCAGCTCCCCCCTTTTCGGTTGCGCGTAACACGAAAGTGGTCTCTTTTGGAGTTCCAGGTCTTGTGTGGCACAAGTCGACGGATAAAGACACATCAGCGCAATGGGAGCGAGAGGGTGCTGGAATGTCAGATGTGGCACGAGCGCGCCTGGCTTGCCCCTCCTCCCTCTCTACCTCTCCCCCTCTCCTTGCTTCCCTCCTTTCTTCTCCATCGAGTTGCGCCGCAGGCATCCACCACCGCGCCCTGGGCGGGGAGGCGAGCTGGAGGGAGCTTATGGGGGGGCCCAGGGGCGGGGTGGCTGGCGTGGGGTCCAATCCAAGGGACCTGGAGCCTCGATCGGACGCAGGTCGGTCGGGAGGGGGGCGGCTGCGCAGATCCGCCTCGCTGCTCCCCTGGCATTCTCGCAGGAGGGATGACAACCGTCAGAGGAGGAGGAGGATAAGGAGGAGGAGGAGGAGGAGGAGGAGG